TTTTGAACGGTCGCTAAACGAACGGCTGTAAGTCGAGAACCGCTTGTGTGTAACGCAAAGGCTCTGAGCTGCGTAGGAGATGCTCACCCCGAGCACCCTTAGCCTTGTTGCGAGCACCGGTGTTTGCACACCCAAGGACTAGCTGCTATTTCCCCAGGCACCCAGTACATTTGCTACAGGGACACTTGGACCTTGTTATTCCTCTCTAGGCACCTGTTTGTTTTCAGCGTTGTATATTTCCTCCCTTAGCTACACCAGACTGCTGGAGGACCAAATAAAGATGCTTAGCATGTTTGAATGTGAGTTATGTATGTGCACATTTCGAGGGCAAGCAACTGAATTTCATTTTTAACATGTGCCAAGGGGCTCAGAATAAAAAAAAATGACAACAAAGGTTATCTAATTGAGGAGAAACAGCTAGAAAAAAATAACGAAATATGGCCATTTGCAAATTGAAGCTGAGCGATTGTGGAGGGAGAAATCAATGGTTGTACCAGTAGTAATAGCCCCTTCCTTCCTTCCTTCCTTCCTTCCTTCCTTCCTTCCTTCCTTCCTTCCTTCCTCTCTACCCCACCCTCCTTCCTTCTTTCCTTCCTTCTTCTCTACCCCACCTTCCTTCTTTCCTTCCTTCTTTCCTTCCTTCTTTCCTTCCTTCTTTCCTTCCTTCCTTCCTTCCTTCCTTCCTTCCTCTCTACCCCACCCTCCTTCCTTCCTTCCTTCCTTCCTTCCTTCCTTCCTCTCTACCCCACCTTCCTTCCTTCCTTCCTTCCCAAAAGGCTGCCTAGATCCATGGAAAATTTGAACTTATTAAACCTGAATGTCCTGACTTTGCAAACAAAAAACAAACAACACACACACACACACACCACCCTTATTCTTATTAATGGGCCATATTCTGCTTTCCTTCCTATGGCGTGATGGATGGTATTGGCCAACGCTGAAAGTCTTGTATTGCTCTCTGCTCTCCCACGTGCAGAAAGAAATGTATGAACGCGTCTTCCAGAAACCTGCAGACAGACACTCCGACTTCTCCCGGCTAGCTCGCGTCTTGACGGGGAATGCCGTGGCTTTGGTCCTCGGAGGAGGTGGCGCACGGTAAGAGTGCTTTGAAACATGAGGGGTATTCTGAAGCTGGCGTTCCCTGGGAATGCAGAACCCTTCTCTTCTCCTTCTCCATCTTCTCTATCTTCTGCTTCTCCTTGACTATCTTCTCTTTCTTGTTCTTCTTGTCTGTCTTCTCCATCTCTTTCTTCTCCTTCTCTTTCTCCTTCTCCTACTTCTCCTTCTCTATCTTCTCCTTGACTATCTTCTCTTTCTTGTTCTTCTTGTCTGTCTTCTCCCTCTCTTTCTCCTCCTTCTCTTTCTCCTCCTTCTCCTTCTCTATCTTTTCCTTGATTATCTTCTCTTTCTTCTTCTTGTCTGTCTTCTCCCTCTCTTTCTCCTCGTCCTTCTCCTTCTCCTCCTTCTCTATCTTCTCCTTGACTATCTTCTCTTTCTTGTTCTTCTTGTCTGTCTTCTCCCTCTCTTTCTCCTCCTTCTTTTTCTCCTCCTTCTCCTTCTCTATCTTTTCCTTGATTATCTTCTCTTTCTTGTTCTTCTTGTCTGTCTTCTCCCTCTCTTTCTCCTCGTCCTTCTCCTTCTCCTCCTTCTCTATCTTCTCCTTGACTATCTTCTCTTTCTTGTTCTTCTTGTCTGTCTTCTCCCTCTCTTTCTCCTCCTTCTCTTTCTCCTTCTCCTTGACTATCTTCTCTTTCTTGTTCTTCTTGTCTGTCTTCTCCCTCTCTTTCTCCTCCTTGTCCTTCTCCTCCTCCTTCTCCTTCTCTATCTTCTCTATCTTCTCTATCTTCTCCTTCTCCTTGACTATCTTCTTCTTGTTCTTCTCCTTGTATCTTTCCCTCTCCTTCTGTTTCTCCTCCTCTTCCTCCTCCCTCAGCACTTTTTCAAATGGTTAGCATCCTCCACTTTTCATCTGCGCCCTCCCCAGCTCCAAATATGGATTTGGAAAGCAGAGTGGTTATTAGGAAAATCTTCCAGAGAGGTCAAAAGCTTTGACCCACACCGTTAGGGATCTGCACTGTGTGCTTTAATTGGATTCCTGAACCAAGCGGGGTGGTGGTGGTGGTTGGGTTAGACGGCCTGACAGCTGGCTTGTACAACCCCCTTAAAAACAGCTGGCATACACATGTTCTGTGCACCAGTTGCAATGCCTTTGCCATTTCTCCTCGGGGTTAGAATTCAGCCCTCTGCACACACCGAGCTGGCAGTTCTAAACAGCAGAACTCTGGCCTCAAAATACAGATTATTTCAGCCTCGCAAGATCCCCCACCAAGGGTGACTTCCGGATCCCCGTGTTTTTCCATCCCTGCCTCCCTTCTCTTTCTTGTCCCCGTTCAAGTAACCCTGCAGCCTTGGAAAAGCAGCTGCCCCCTCCCTCCCTCCCTCCCTTCTTGCCTCCTCAGTGAAACTATATTCAGGTTTGAGATAATTGAAGAGTTTGGGCTTTGCAACCGGCTCTTGAAAATGTCACCTTTTGTCTGTCGGAGCAGTTGGGAGTGCTCCCCGGCGGCCGGGTTAGGGCGATGTGGGCTGGCTTGATGCCTGCTGCGCACCACAAAGCCGAACCTTGGAATTTTCTTGTCTCCTGTACGTTCGCAGGGGCAATTAGTTCCTGGCTGCCGTCCCCTCGTTTGATTGTTCTAGTATTTTGGGAGAGCTGCCATAAGTAAAGTCGCCCACACGTTGTTCCAGCATCCAGAGAGCTGCTTCTGTTCCTCTCTTTCTCTCTCTCTCTCTCTCTCTCTCTCTCTCTCTCTCTCTCTCTCTCTCTCTCTCT